AACCAATCACAGAGAGAGATACAGAGAGAGAGAGAGATACATAGATCAATACATATCTGTGTATATACACACAAATTTATTTGTGTATACATAGATCTGTGGAGAACGGTGGCGTCGGTGATGGCAGCACCGATAGGTCCCTCTATTCCCCTTTATTCTCTTCATTTCTTCTCTATTCCTCTCTTTTCTCTCTCTTTCTCTCTTCATCTGTTTCATTAATAAAAGAGAGGGGAAAAAAAATATAAATTCAAAATGACATCGTTTTGAATTCGGGCCACTCGAGCCTCGGAAATTTCGACCTCTGAAGCATTGGGCAAACTTCACTTTACCCTTTATAATTGAAGTCATCTGCAGTTTACCCCTCTTAATGTTTGGAAATGACCAGATAATCCCCACGTGATTTATGGACTGAAGTACACCGTTAACATTCCGTCCAATTCAACAATAAATGTGAAACACGTGACAAATATAAGGGCATTAAATGCTCATTTTTAAATTTTAAAGGGGTAAATCATACAAGCAATAAAGTACATGGGATTAAAGTACACTTTGCCTTCTAAATAAATGACAAAAATATAAGGATATTTTAGTCTTTTTTTATTAAATCGTTAATGGGTCTAACGGTGTATTTTAATCCACAAACCACGATGAGGTTATATGGTCATTTTCAAATGATAGGAGGGTAAAACGCACATGACCCAAACCATAGGAGGACAAAGTGAAATTTGTCCTATAATTAAAGTTGGTATGAATAAGATTATCTAAAACTAAATATTATTTAAGTCTCTAAATAAAAATTTTAAAAATTAAAACAACACAGTTATGCTGAGTGTAAATTATAAAATAAAATTAAAAAATTTTAAAAATAACACATTATGTTTTGTTATGTTATAAAAATATACGTAATCTAGTTGACAAAAACAAATATAAAAAATATTAACTCAAATTATACAATTAAACATAAAAATATTAAAACATACAAATATTTAAAAATAATTGTTCAAAAAATATAGAATTGTATGAAACAAATTTTTGGTCAACTTTAAAAATAATTACAAGAATAGTTAAAAAAAATTAATCGCATAGTATATTTCAACTTTATAAATAGTCGTAAAAATAGCAAAAATTAGTCACAAAAAAAGTAGAATTCATATAGTATATTTCAACTTTAAAAATGTTTGTGTAGGTTGCAAGTCTAATTTGTATCCGAGTGCAAGTTTAATTTGTATTGGGGTGCAAGTTCGGTCTGGGTGAGGTGCAAGTCGAATATGTGTGGGGTGCAAACCGAGTTTGTGTGGGGGTGTAAATCCATTGTGTGAGGTGCAAGTTGAGTTTGTGTGGGATGCAAGTCCATTCTGTTTGGGGTGGAAGTCGAGTATGTGTGGAACGTAAATTATGTGGAATGCAAGTCTAGAGTGTGTAATGTGCAAATTTTAAATGAAAATTGTTTGAGGGCTCGAAATCGTTGGCTCGAAATCCAAAACGACGTCGTTTTGGGTTTCATTTTTTCTTCTTTTTCATTTTCTTGCTTTTTTTTCTTTTTCTTGCTTTTATTGTTTTTGAACACGGACGGAGGCAAGAGAGAGAAATGAGAGAAGAGAAAAGAAGAAGAAGAGAGAAGAAGGGGAAAAGATGAGGAGAATGAGGAGGAAGAGAAGATGACGATGATGGCGGTGATGGCGGAGGATGAAGATCGACTGTGATGGCGGTCGAAGCTGGAATCGGATTTGAATCGGATCTGATTTTTTTTTTTTTGGGCTGATGATGATGTGTTGATGATGATGATGTTGATGAAGATGTTGTTTTTTTTTTTTTTTTTTTTTTTTTCTAGTGGATCTGATCTGAAGATGAAGGAGGGAAAAAAAATTGTTGGCTATTGATGATGTGTTAATGAAGATGTTGTTGTTGATGATGTTCTTCTTCTTCTTCCTTTTCTCTTTTCTTCTTCTTCTTCTTCTGCTTTTGCTTCTTCTTCTTCTTCATCTTCAAAACAGTGAGAAAGAAAAAAGAAAAAAAAAAAAAATTTCAAAACAACTTCGTTTTGGATTCGGGGCAAATTCGAGCTCGAAAATTTCGAGCTACGTATCACAACTGATTTTAAATCTATACTTAAATTTTTTTAAATTATGTGGAGCGCAAGTCTAGTTTTTGTAGGTTGCACCCCACACATATTCGACTTCCACCCCACATAGATTGGAGTTATACCCCCACAGAGACTCAATTTGCACCTCATATAGAATGAACTTGCACCCCACACAGATTTGATTTGCACCCCATACAAATTGTACTTGCACTTGAATACAGATTTGACTTGCACTCCACACAATACCTGAATTCTTTTTATTTGTGACTAATTTTTGCTAATTTTTATAACTATTTATAAAGTTAAAATATGTTGTGCAATTAATTTTTTAAAACTATTTTTAAAGTTGAAATATAAAATATATAGTTGAATTTTTAAATTTTATCTTCTAATTTTTTTCTAAAAAAAATTAAAAATAGTTTGCTAAAAAAAATCATTTTCATTTTCATACGATTCTATTTTTTTTTTGAACAAAAATAATTTTTTTTAATATTTCTATGTTTGAATATTTTTATTTTTAATTATATAATTTGAGTTAATATTTTGGAAAATTTACCCATAAATCCTAGTTTCTGAAAAGTTGAACTATTTAGTCCTAAAAGTTTTCTTATGCTCCATTTAGTCCCATTTATACATTATCATGATGTTCATGATGTAAATGAATCTGATGTTTCATTCTATAATTTCAAAATTTATTGAAATCTGATGAACATTAGATGTTTGAAATCTAATGTTTGAAACATTCATCCTATAATTTCAAACATTATTAAAATTTGATGAACATTAGATGTTTGAAATTTAATGTTTGAAACATTAATATGATGTTTGAAATATTGTAATGGGACCTTTCAGTCTATAAGAAAACTTTTAGGACTAAACAGTGTATAAGTTATTAATTTGGGATTTATTGGTGCATCCCCCTAATATTTTTTCTATTTATTTTCATTGAACTAGTTTACATATATTTTTAAAATATATATTTTGAAAACATAACAAAACAGAGTGTGTTATTTTTAAATTTTTTTTTTATCATTTGCACTCAGCATAATTCTTATTTTTAGTGAACTTTTTTTTTTTGGGGTATTAATGTGTATTATTTTTATTGTATTATTTGAGTTAATAAAAATATAAAATAATATTTGTATGGTTTATTATTATTATTATTTATTTATGCAATTTGAATTAACATTTGTGTGGTTTAATTATTATTATTATTATTTTGTACAATTTGAGTTAATATTTTTATTTTTATTAGTCTTTACATTTTTTTATTAAATAAAAAAAAATTCTATTCAAAAAGTAATTATAAATAATTATTATTTACATTAATTTCAAATCATACAAATTATTTGAATTAAGTAAGTTTTTTTATATATATATTCTTTGAATTATTAATTTAAATTTTTATTAAATATGTTTAATATTAGTCTCATTTTAAATATTTTGTTCATATTTTTTGAATAATATTAATTAAAAAAATTGAATTTATATATTAAAAATTATATGTGAAATAAAATGAATAATGCTTGGGACCCCCTTTTGGGGGTCATCCCCTCATCCCCTTTGCCACGTGGCAGGGGGTGATTGGAGGAGCAGGAAAAAAAAGAAAAAGAAAAAGAAAAAGAAAAAGTAACCAATGAGAGAGAGAGGGGGTCAAAGGGGGGGGGGGAAAGGAGGGGAAGAGGGAATGGAGGGGGAACGGAGAGAGAGAGAGGCCCCTCGATCGTCGTCCCGCCGATCGTCGCAGCTCACTCCGGTCGTCACAACTCAGCTCCGATCGTCGCAGATCGCCCCGCTTCCGCCTCCGCCCCGCACTGGTTGATGGCCCCTCCAGTCCTTCTCTTCTTCCTTCTCTTCTTCTTTTCTGATTTTCTTCTTCCTCTGAAAAAAAAAAAATGAAAACGACGAAAACGACGTCGTTTTCGTTTCGAGAGGATTCGGGGAAACTCTTTCGAGCTACCAATCACTACCATTTTAATAAATAGTAATAATTTTTAATTTATTTTTTTTCAACTGGGCAAATCTAACCTTACTTTCCATTTCACAATCTCCAATACCTCTCTCTCCTTTTCTTTCAACAACTGATTGAAAGTTTGTAGCGTGGGGTAGAGGAGAGGGGAAGTGCATGTGTGACATGTGTATATGATGTGAGATAAGATAGAATTGAGAATTAATTCATGTCCTTGTAATTTTCAAAGATTCCTCATTAATTTATGGTTTACTTCTTCTGGCCCACTCACAAGTAATTTCTCCTTTAATTTTTATTTTATTTTTTATTTTTTTTTGTATATCCTAAATTTTTCCTTTGTTTATCATATTTTTATAAAAGGAGAAGTTATTGATTAATTTTAGATATTATATATCCAAATAATATTTTAATTAGCGAAGAAAATGAGATATGTAAATTTGTATTAAGTAATTAAAAAATATAATCAGGTGACACTCTTATACTAATTAACTAATTTTCACTTTATGGGTTGTTTGGGGTGTCTTAAATAAGTGCACTTTTTATCTTTTTTTAGATTAAAAAATTAAAGAAAAAATATAGATGTTTGAGTTAATTTTTTGACTTTTATAAAAAAACATGTATTAAAAAATTATATAAATTAATGTATAAAAAAAATTAAGATTAAAAATTATACCGTCATAATTTTTAATTTTTAATGAATAATCATAACTTTTTAACTAATTTTTTAATTTTTTTTCAACTTATCAAATTTAACATTACTTTTCATTTCACAATCTCCAATGCCTCTCTCTCCTTTTCTTTCAACAACTGATTGAAAGTTTAAACTTAAAACCCATTCTTTATTATTATTTTATTTAAAATATTTTTTTAAATTAAACTGATTGAAAGTTTAAACTTAAAACCCATTCTTTATTATTATTTTATTTAAAATATTTTTTAAATTCAAAAATTCAATCCTCTCTCTTTATTTAACCATCGCGAACCTTCTTCATCTCCTCCCAAACACCACCCTTCTCGCCAAAGCAATCCCCCCAAATCCACCGCCGCCGATCCAGTACTCCGCGCCACTCCCTCATTCCCCGTACTCCTCCTACGTGTCATCATCTCATTGGTCACTGCACCACCATTCCAGGCACGTACTCGTCTCTTTCACTTCTCCTCGGATCTGACTCTCTCTCTCTCTCTCTCTTGATTTTCAACGGCTGTTTCTCTGCTCTCTACTCCAAAGTACTGCATTGTCATCGGCGTCATTCACTGTATTAAAAAGCTTGGATCTGAGTTCTTGATAGAGCGTTGTTTTGATTCGATTTCACATTCTCAGATCCTGAAAACCAGAACGATTTTGGCAATGGCGAGACTACTCTACAGATTGTCGACGATTGTTCTCTTGGCTCTTATCTCAGTCCGCTTCGCTGTATCTGCAGATCCACCATCTCCGACTCCGGCCCCTGAAATCGGCGCCGACTCGCTCTCTTCGTCCCCTGAATCCGGAGCCCCGGAGACTCCTTCGCCTTTGCCGGAATTTAGTTCTCCTCCGGCGCCTCCGCCGTCGGATCTAGCTCCTGGTTCAACGCCATCGCCATCGCCATCGCCTGATAATTCTCCGTCTCCGTCTCCGTCTCCGTCCGTGGCGAGCGACCTTGCTGCCGAGAAGAGCGATATGAATGCGGATTCTGAGGATTCGAATCAGTCGTCGGAAGGAATGAAAGGTGGACAGAAGGCTGGGATTGTGCTTGGAGTGATCGCCGGAGCGTGTCTCGTAGGGTTCGGAGGGATGGTGTACAAGAAACGGCAGCAGAACATCCAGCGCTCTCAGTACGGGTACGCCGCCAGGGGAGAGTTTCTCTAGATATATATACATTGTCTACGTATATTAATCGATTGTTAATCGTATCTTCTACAGTGATTTTGTTACATTAAGCTTGATTATGATGATTTTTTTTTTGATTCTTTAGTGGTTATATAATAAATTTTGAATAATTTTTTATTCCCCCTACTTAGGAGTAGAATTTGTTAGTTAGACATTTGTTGATGATTTACTCTTGAATTTGGACTTCACTGTTGGTTTGGTTCCTTGTCTTTGCCAACTTCGATCAGCTTGATTTTCTTTCTGAATATATGTGAAGTTTGCTTCCTTGATTGATACAAATGCAGAGAAATTTCTTGAATTTCAAATCCATTACGACTGCATTAGAAATTGCATTTCTTTTTACTCATATTATTTGTTTTTTGGATTAATATTAACAAAGAGAATAGAAATGTGATGAAATGGGAAAAAAAAATTGAGAGAAGTCCATTTCTCTTACAATTTTCAGGGGAAATTATTCAGAAGTCCTATTTAAAAGAGCATAAATATATTTAGTTTCACAACTTTTGGATACTTTCAAAAGTCTACTATGCTTTTTTTATTCTTCGTTCTTCTCTCCGCCTTCGTTCGTCACTGTCTCTTTCTCTTCTCGATTCCCAATTACCGGACACCACACCTTATTTTTTCTCATTCTCGTTCTCTTTTCTCTTTTTGATTTAGTCACAGTAACTAACGGCCACTATTGGTTAAGCTTCATCGGCAATCACCGACTATTAACTCTTTACTTCATTCTCATTAACGACAAAGTAGACGAGTTTTTTGCGAAGAAGATGAATAGATCTACATTAAATCTAATTAGATCTAAACAAAAAATAGTTATCGCAGTACAATTTTCTCTCTGGATCTGTTTATCTCCTTTGATCTCTCAAATTTTCTACTTTTTCTCTATTATATATTTCTATTTTTTCGTTTTAATGGAGAAAATTTTCAAGTTTTGAATAAATTATTTTCGAGTTTTAGTTATTGGTAGTGAAAATTATAAAATTTTATAGTTTTAATTTTTTTGGTACTGAAATGAATCATACTTTAAAACTATAAAATTTTGTAGTTTCATAACATTTTTTAAAATTATAAAATTTTACAATTTCACAACAAATTTTTCAATTTGATTAATAAGGATAAATTTTTAATAGAATCATATTTTGAAACTGTAACATTTTACAATTTAAAAGCTTACTTTTTCAGTTTGATCAATATTAGAAATTATTTATTTAAATCTTACAAAAATTAAAACATAATATATGTTTTTTCTCATTGTTGCTATTTGTTGTTATGATTTTTTTTCTTTTTTTAGTTTATCAATATTTAACACATTTTATTATATTTTTCGCTCTAATTTCTCCAATTATTTTTTTTTGTAATATTCTGGATATTCTAGTGAGTTTTCGACGATATTCTTGATGTCCAGTGAATGTTCTGGACATTCAAGAGACTTCAAGTGACATTCGGAACACCCCGACAATATTCCGGCGAACTTCTGGTGATACTTTGACGACTTCTCGGTGATGTTAAACATTCTAACGAGTTTCTGGTGGCCATATGATGGAAGTTTGGCAAGGATGGGATGTAGCAGCGTTTTTAAATTTTAAAAAAAAAAAAGTAAAGAAATTAATTTTTGATAACAATTCAAAATATGTAGGACTAATTAGAGCAAGTATTTTGTTTTGGAACTAGATGAATTTTGAATTTTGTGTATAGGACTTATTAATAAGTGCCCCAAATTTTAATTTTGAATATCTCCAAAAAAGTGAAGGGGCAAATTACACTAATAGTCCCTATAGTTTGGGACTTGTGTCACTTTAGTCCCTAATTTTTTAATTGTGACACATTTGACTTTAAATTTTGAATCTTGTTCCAAATAAGAACAATTGAAGATGCCATTGTTTAATTTCAAGGGCAAAATCATCAATTTAATAAAATATAAACTAATTTGACAAAAATAAATGTTAAAAAAAAATTTAAAATTTTTTAAAAATTATTTTTATCCACTAAAGACAAAATTATGTAAAATCGATCAAAATTAATAAAAATTAAATGATTAGTTTTTAATAATTAATTTTACATGATCATCATCCAAACACATAATAAAAATTAATTTGATGGAAAAAAAAAAGTCTCAAAAGATTTATCAATTTTACATAATTTTATCTTTAGTGGATAAAAATAATTTTTAAAAATTCAAAAATATTTTTTTAATATTTATTTTTGTCAAATTAGTTTATATTTTATCAAATAGACAATTTTACCCTTGAAAAATCTAATGATATCTTCAATTGTCCTTATTTGGAACAAAATTTAAAATTTAGGGTCAAATGTGTCACAATTAGAAAGTTATGGACTAAAGTGACACAAGTTCCAAATTATAGAGACTATTAATGCAATTCACCCAAAGTGAAGTCATTGGTAGAGAAGAGAAGAGAAGATAAAAGAAACTTCTATTTACACCCTAAAAATAACTTCCTATTTCTAAATTTTTTTTATTTTATTTATTATTATAATTTTATTCTCAGCTAAAATTATCAAAAAGTAATCAAATATTGAAAATACAAAACTCTAATTTCTCCTTCGATGGTCTTCATTCTCGTTTATTGTTGCTTGCTGTTGACACAACTCCTCTTTTCCTTTAAATCCTAGATTTGAGATCCCTCTCTCTTTTGTTGTTGTGTAGAACTGATAAGTTGCAGGGATGAGGGGTAGTAGGTGTTTTAGGGGGGGCGGGGATGGGCTGAACCCTAGCCTCTCTTTCCTTACAAAAACAATTTCCGAACCCTACTACAGGAGTGGGGGCAATGAAAGAGAAAGAGAAGGGGTTGCGGTAGACTAAAGGGAGTTGGAGAAGGGTGATACGAGGCAGGAGAGACAATGGTGCCAGCGAATGAGAGGGAGGGTGGCTTGGAAGGGGAAAGGTTGGGAGAGGTGTTGCAAAGTGGGAGGCAATGGTGGTGGCAGAAAAGAGGGGTTGGTCAAAAAGGAAAGAGGTGGAAAGAGCGGTGGTGTTAACTATGAAGTTCAGAATTTGAAAAGTTAGTAGTGTAGAGTTAGGATGAGGAAAGATTTGGTATTATGAATAAGAATGTAAAATGAACCAAGTTATTTAAATTTAATTTGTTAAAAGGTTGATCTTAATTTAACTTGTTAAAAGGTTGTTTAAGATTAGCTTGATATGTAAACAAGTCAAATTTGAACAGATTTTAAAATTGGTTAAATTTTCAAGTTAAGCTTTAGCAGCCTATTCCTCAACTTCTTCCCCAACGTCATAAGCATATATACACTACATAAAAAAGTTAATCGAGTTTAACTTGTGTTCAATTTGTTAAAACCTCGTTTAAAATAGATTTTTTATGTAAATAAGCCAATCTCGTACATATTTTGAAACTTGTTAAGTCGTCAAACCAAACGTGAATAACATACTACTTAAGCTCGACTTGACTCATTTGTAACATTAATTATGAAGAGTATAAGGTGATCAAATAAATATTTTGAAATTGGATTAGGTTGTCACCGGTTGGGTTTTCCAACTATAGCGTCCTATTGTTGGGTTCTGTGCACCCACCATAGAGCCCACATTGATGATCCGAACATTTAATTTATCGAGTTCCATTGAGCACTTCATCCCTATAAAATATCACGTCAATCGGATATTAATAGTCACTTGATCAAATTACATTTGTGTTAACAATTTATTTTTAAAATTATAATTACCATTGACAAAATTTGATCTAATCATGCGGTTATCAATATCCAATCAACGTAATTTTTTACAAGAATAAAATACTTAACGAACTTTAAACATTGAACGGTTTGAATCATCAATGTAAACTCCGTAATAGACTTACAAAGTCTAACAATACGCTCCAATCCGGTTTTAAATTAAAAACAAGCTTGGCCGAATTGAATTTTAGAGATGGAAACTACTAGCAATACTCCTAAAATTGTTACACAACAATTTTATCTTCTTATACTCACTGTTACACTTTTATTACGATTATTATTATTATTATTATTTGTTAAAACCAATTTTTTAAAAAATGGCAACCATAAAAAGTTATTTTGATGATAATGTTTCTCTTTCCTTTTATCTCGTTAATATCCAAATAAGATGGAGGGAAAAAAAGAAAAAAAGAAAAAAAAACCAACAACAACAACAATCTTTTGAAATAATTTTTAATATTTTTTTAAAAATTAAATTTTTTATATTTTTAAGGATAGATGAACATAGCCTTCTTTGGCTGTTTGAAGTAGAAAAAACTGCAAGTGTTGTGTTCTTTCATTTGAGAGTAACAACAATACATGTATAATGCTACGACAAATAACATACCATGCATCCATTGCAAGTCTGTGTTGCAGCCCTTCTGGGGCAAAATTATTCATAAGGTACTGCTGTGTTTACAGTGCAGCATTAACCCCTCAGATATGCAGAACCCTCATATACAAGTAACAACAATTTGTATGATGATGATACCTCCATTTTGGCCACATTTTTATTCCCATATATGCCAATTGTATTGCCCAATCTTAATCTTCTTCTGCAGCCGGGTCTACCCATCGGCCATTATCTTTTATAAGCTGGATCAAGGCATCAGTTGCGTGCTCCATCTCAATTCCCCGCTTTACCACCATCTGAAATACAACCAACCAACACATCACATGATGAGTTAAACCTACTAATTTCTGAGTAATTTGAATTATCATGAAAGCCAAGAATAAGAATATATCCTATTTATTTAAATGTTCATTTCACTCAGTGTTTCAGTTACAACCCAAGTGGAAACTGTAGAATTTGTTCCTTTCCTTTCTCTGTTTGGCAAGCAACAGTAAAGCAAGGGACTGAAATAACTACGCTGTGTTTGGTTAGGGAGGGATTTGGAAAGAAAAAGGAAAAGGAAAAAGTGTGTGAAACTAATGTTGTGTTTGGTTGGGGGATTTGGGGAGGGATTTGGAAAGGGAAAAGGAAAAAGTATGTAAAACTAGGTGAAATGTAGGTACATTTTATTCACATTTCACCTAACTTTTTCCTTTTCCTTTCCAAATCCCTCCTCAAATCCTCTAACCAAACACAGCGTAAGTGAAATGTAAGTATATTTTATTCACATTTCACTTATCCTTTCCATTTCTCTCCTCAAATTCCTCAACCAAACACAACGCTAGGGTATATAGCAAAACATAATAGACAGCATCTTCTTCTAGTTTTCCTTCTCTTTTTCTCCAATTAATGTTCAACCTCTTAGATTTCATCTACCTTTTTGTCATACATGTTTCACCTTATATAGACTTCATTTACAATTCGTACTATTTTCTACCCACACGTTTTTAACTAATTATCCTTCTCAAGATTCAAGTTTGTTACACTATTTCAGTGTTTGTCCCAATCGATTCTACTTTTATATCATCAGCTAAAAGTTTGAATGTTGAACTCCTCAATAAAGTATCCCATTTAAATCATTTTACTCATTCCAAAGAAGGAAAAGTAATACAATACCTTCCCAACGTAAAGGTCAATCTTTCCTGGAGCACCACCAACATACCCAAAATCTGCATCAGCCATCTCCCCAGGTCCATTTACTATGCAACCCATGATGGCAATCTGCCATAGTATGAGGGAAAGAAAAAAAAGAATACCAAGATGAAAGTGGTACTCATTAATGCTATCTAATCACTGAATGCAAAAGGATTTTGGTAATTACAGAAACACCAGGCAAGTGTGATGTTTGCTCTCTTATTTGCGCGCTAATCTCTTGAAGGTCAAATAGAGTCCTACCGCAGGATGGACATGAGACATATTCCTGCAATAGAAGTTAATGGTTCAATCACTAAAGATAATAGCCGTTAGTCATTTAAAATGTTATTTACTTCACTTCCAAACAATAACTCCTTACCGTCTTTGTATTCCGCATTCTGCAACCTTGTAGCAAATTGAAAGACGTGTTTCTAAGAAAATCGAAGTCCTGATCTGGGGCTTCTAATAGAACGCCATCTCCAAGACCATCAACTAAAAGGGCTCCTGCATTGCTACCAGCACCAATGACTAAATCATCCCTGCAAATGAACAGAACTAGCATAAGCCAAATGAACAGAACTAGCGTAATCATCCCTTCATCTTACTCGACTACTACTGATTCCTAGTTACCTGTGGATTCCTTTGGGGAACTGTATATGGTGAATTACAGGGAAGTCCAGAGCATTCTCTGAAAGAAACTCAAATAACCTGCAATGAAGAAGACATTGAAACTGTCAGGACCAAAATGAAGGATCAAACTGTTCTATTCCTGTGTTAAATAAACCAAACCAAACCAAACTAAATTAAGCCTTGTGTCCCAATCAAGTGGGGTTCATATTGCTCTTTTGTACCGTCGCATTTATAGGTCTTCGTTGTACATGACCAAACTATAGTAACTGTTCTTTCTAGACTTATCTTTAATAGGTGTTACTCCTGCCATTTATATATTTATTTAAACATGTAGTTTTGTATACAATAAATAATGCACACATACATATAGCTGTATCTAATATGCAAACCTTTGATGAGCAGCCTCAACAAAGGGCCACGAACTTGCCCACTCACTTAAGTAATGTCAGCTCACAATTATTTGAGAGTCCGTAAAATATTACCTCCTAGCAGCATGAACTCTGCTGATTTTGTCCTCTGTATAAGGTAGATCATGAAGAACCATTGTGGCATCAACATTTTTAAGGATATCCAGATCTTCATAAGGCTCATCTCCGCGAACAGACACAACCAAGCGCGTACCTGAGAGATGGGTTGTTAAGATGGTATGAGCCATGGTAACTAACCACATAAATGGAATGTGCCAAGTTCAGAAAGCTCAGAAAGCGTTTAATAAGAGTCACCTTCTGGCAAAAGCTTGTAAGCACCAGATGATAATTCCTTGAGATTTACCAGGACCATGGCATTGGGTAATGGCTTCGTCAGTTGCTCCGACAAAGGAGCTATAACCCCCATACTAATCTCTATCAACCTCTTGAGAGCTAGCCGCTGATCATGACACAAAGAAGAATCAAATAAATTCACTTTCAAATGTTCATTGAATTACACAATAGAGCAGTAAAATTAGTTTAAAACACAACAAGACTCAGATTAAACATGAGTCATAGAAATTAGATAAGGGACTTTCTCATCAAACTAACGGAGCAAAAGGGATCAGAGTCCTTACAGAATCATTGTCATCTGCTGGTGGAAGTTCTCTCAATAAGATTGAGTCCACAGTTGCTAGATCCTAAATCAGGCATCAAACTTTGCTCTTAAGATTGTGATGCATATCTTGCATAATATGATTTCATGGCAACGTTTTTTTAGATAATAAAGCAACATAGGAACAAACCTTAAATGGCATGCCGACGACAAGCTTAGCTGCCAGTGATTTGTAGAGGAGTTCAGGTGTCTGGCAAATAAACAAGAGGATAAAAATGTCTCAAGATGCAATTCAAAATGATAAAACTGATTGATAGTAATTGCTGAAACATATGTCAACGTGAGCTTAGGAAAAGAAATGGACAGTGAAGCAAAATATCTCGCATACAACGATTAGGACAATGAGAGAAAAAAAATAAGAATCAGTCATTTTCTTATGGTTTTCTCTTTTTTGCGGCAGAAATAATTTTGAAAATTCAAAAAAAAAAAATTTTGATGTTTACTTTTGTCAAACTAGTATCTAACTTTTCAAAAAAAAAAAAAAAAAGAGTTCAAAAATCAAGTTCTAAAAGCTCAACCAAACATAGCCGCACATATAACAATAATATGGCTTCTGATACACATATATCTGTTTCTCTGCCCTAAATTGCTCAAACTAGAGAATCTCAATGATATTCCTCTGTTAAGGTGTAGGTGTTTAATGAACTTGACAATGTAAAGGAACAACTAATTCCCAAGTGACAGTGTTCAGTAAAATTGATAAGCAAATATCACGAGGAAAGTCGATATCAAGATTCAAGAGTGACCTTCAACTGATCCATGGAAACAGACATGAGAACAGAGCCATCACGGTGCAGCACGCCTCTATAATCCACCTCTTCGCCCTGTACAGATATTAAGCAAAATCTATCAGTTAAAAAGGCAGAATAAAGTAATGAGAACGCTCAGCATACCAAATCTCCAAAATTGAAATCTGACCTCCTTTTGTACTGGTAATTGACCAGTTCTGCGTTGGAAATCAAAGTACCGCCTGTTCTTCTCTTCAAATGGAGCCTGATAAAGGGGCCAATAGAACTGATTAAAAAGGTTTTTGCAAGGTTAACATCAAAGAATGTAAGCATACTAACAAAATTAGAATAGTGTAGAAACCTACCACCCCTTGCTGAAGTTCAGCTGCTTTCATACCAAACTTAGCCAGCCTTCTACATGGGTCTATTTCCTCTTCTGGAGGTTCCGTAAGGGAGACCCTGATGGTATCACCCAAACCATCCTGTATATCAAATAAAGTTCTTGAGCTCCAATATGTTAACTAATCATTCAACAACCCTATGCAAGTGTTCCTTCTTTGGATGTAAGTAGTCTGGTGGAAAAAAATTGGGTAAACTTTCACATAGGTGGTGTTTGGGAACTTGGTTCCCAAATTATTTTCTCATTTTTTCCACTAAAAGACAAAGGTTTTGCAAAACCAAAAAAAACAAATCCAAACAAAATATCACATCCAACCCCATAATCATTTCACTTTTTCTCTCACAAGTATCACATCCAACCACAAAAAAATCCAACTATCTTCCCAAACACTAAAATTTTTTTATCCAATAATATCCTACAACTAAAAAAACCTACATAAAAACCCATTTCCCAAACACCCACATAATCTATAATTTACACTATTAAGAAACCTCATAAACACATATTTCCCTAAATTTTGAAAGTATTTATGAGGATTGGAGAAGAAGATATTGCCAACATCTAATTTCATAAAGGAAATTATCATCTAGATGGATGTGGAATTGAATACAACACCATAGCATGTCATTTCTTAATATTTTCCAATGGCATTGAATATACAAGGATAATAGCAACTGAAGAAGGATTTATACATTTATTTAGTTATTTATTTTATTTTTTAAAGTACCTGAAGAAGGGTTCCGATGCCAATTGCAGATTTCATCCGTCCATCCTCACCTTCACCAGCTTCAGTAACTCCCAAGTGCAATGGATAATCCCATCCTTGAACATACATTTCAGCTACAAGCAAACGGTATGCCTGGACCATCACAACTGGATTGCTTGCTTTCATCGAAAAGAGGAAATTATGGAAGTCCAACTTCCGACAAATTCTTGCAAATTCAAAGGCAGACTCTACCTGTTATATGATTGCAATCAGTATGACATCAATGAATCCAGAAATAATATAGAACAGAAGAAGATCAGAAGTTTTTAGTAGTATGATTGAGTAATTGCACACCATTCCCCTAGGAGAATCCCCATAGTAGCTCATGATACGATCTGAAAGGCTCCCATGGTTGGTTCCAATGCGCATTGCCCTTCCATATTTCTTACATTTCTCAACCAACGGAGTAAAAACCTGGTGCATTAAAAATTAAAAGTGCAAGACTTTAATTTGGGAGTTACATCACATTTTTTTTTTTTAGATTGAAAGAATTGTAATGTGGCTTTACCTGCTCGATATGCTCAAGTTCTTTCTGATAGTCATCTTCTGTATACTCCAGCTGTTCAAATTGAGCTCGCCTATCAGCTGCAAGTAATCATCACTTTAAACTCCATATAGAAGTCAATAAAAATCTGAAAAAACTTGAATGAGTGGTGAACCAAGTACCAAAGTTTCCAGGGTTGACACGAATTTTGTCAAAGCATTCAGCAACTCGCAATGCAACAGAGGGGGCAAAGTGAATGTCTGCCACCAGAGGTATGGTATAACTGCATGAAATAAAATAAAAACTAGTAAGATAACATGCACCGAATATAATATTGATTCAGAATTTTCATAAATGCTAACAATAATTAAGACCTACTTCTTTTGAACAAGGGAGTTTTTAATTTCATAACATGCATCTGCTTCTCTCTTCCCTTGCACCGTTATCCGAACAATATCTGCTCCTGTATCAGCTATTCTCATCACCTACCAAAGACAACAGGCAACCTCATGTGGAATAAGTATCACAATTAACATGTCTGTGCTACAAAAAATTCAGGTCATCTGTCAATTTCAAATTTTTATTTATATTTAGTTGTTAATATTCATGACGGTCAAATAATTATTTGAAGACAACATAATTGAATGAAATCTCTCAATGCAAAATCTTACAATTAAAAAAACTTAGCAAAAAAAAGGTTTACAATTATAAATTACAAGAAATTCATCTAGGTGATTTTGTAGAAGATCAAATGAAAAGAACCTGTTCAACTGTTGCATCAACATCCTTGGTGTCTGTTGTGGTCATCGTTTGAACTCTTATAGGATGCTCGCTTCCAATAGCCACATTCCCAACCATCACTGTACGGGTTTTCCTCCTGACAGTTTTATGTATGGATTCACAATACTTTTGCCTAGGAACTTCATCCATAAAATAATCCATCACAGATTTAAAATGGGCATATAACAGTTGATATTTTGTATGAGAAAATAATTACAAAAGAAATAGAAAGATTCCAAAGTTTCAAATCCTACATATATTCATAATTTTTAGAATCTGAAAAAAAAAAAAAAAAAAAGATGCACTCATTTGAGGCTAGTAAAAACAGTTTTATCTTACTTGAGTCTTTTGTTTTCGGAAATTAGAAAGACTAAGAGCATCTCTAACCCCATGAGTCAAACCTATATCAAATTTCAATTTGGGTAAAAATCACTCAAAAACCTCTCCACTTTTTGACTAAAAACTTATATCAAACTGAGTTTTACCCCTTTTTTTTTTACCCAAATCAAGGGAGACTGAAATGTTTACTCAAAATTTTTGAAGACCATTTTGTAGCTTTCAAGTTTACAACTCTGCCATTACTGAAGCTTTTACTCAAATTGATTTGAGTAAGGGCTAGAGATGGCGTAAAAACTTTTATTCTTTTTCTTTCCTCCGTTTTCCCATCAACCAAACAAAATTAGAGTGAAGACAGATGCTAAAACTCATCAGAATTTTAAAACGTCACAAGTCTGCATTAACCAAAAGTTCAAATAATTCTCGACGAAGGTTAGTAAACAGGATTAATACCTACTAAAGGGCTCCCTTCTGATGCAGGCTGAAGTTCAGCAATTTCAGAGCCAGGATTCGAGTTTCTAATCACTGATACCTTGGTTCGACGAAACTTAACCCGCTGCAAGTCACAAACTTTCACAAAATCCATGCTTTTCACAAATCCTAAGCCATGGTCCCTGCTCTTCAGTCCCGTAAACGACGCTGGAACAGCTCCAGTCGCCATTTTCACAAACAACAGGTCACAACCTTCACAATCCCAAAACAAAATAAGAGATACAAATCCAGTCGGTCAAATAGAACTAAATTGAGCTCATCATCCAATACAAACAATCAATTCATCCGAGCTATCTTATTTTTTGGTTGAGTTTTCAGAGCTTATTTTCTGGAATTTTTTTTTTGAAAAATTAGAAAGAAAGTTGACCAAAAAAATATTTTAATTTTTAAAAATTATTTCCATCCCATAAAAGAGAAAACGACATGAAAATAATGAGTTTTTTTCTTCCTTGTTTCTTGACCAAATTAGTTTTTGAAATTTTTTTTTTTAAAAAAAAAACATATTTTCGTTTAATTTCTCTCAGCTTTCTCAGCAGCCAAACAGTGAGAGCAATTTTCTCTTCTCTTATCAAGTCAAATTCAAGTAACTGTAAAAATAAGATAAAAAATTACTGATCAAAGCAGCGAATTAACAACAAAATCCACCTTAGCCTCAATCAATATCATTCAATCACAAGAAGCTTCGATCATAACCCTCTAAATTATAATTTAGCTAAAACTCACTAAAGGCACAAGCAAAAAAACACTAGGAGATCCAAAATCACTTCACGAAATAAATTACAGCAAGTGCACTTACCGTTATATGAAGCTGAAGCGTATTATCGATTGATTCAAGTCGAGTCGAATCAAATCGCGAGAGAGAGAAAGAGAGGGTTTCAGAAAAATTTGGAAAAATGAGTAATGAGTATATATAGGGGTGGAGAGAGAGGAGACCAAAAGCTGAAACAGGACAAACAGCTCTCCTCTGAGTGTCTTCTTTGTTGATTCATCAATGCCATACAAATAGCATTGGTGAAATTTGTGAGTATTTGTACATATGCCCTTGCATTTTGGTATTTTTGCATGTTTGGTCCACTTAAAAAGCTTTTATTTTTTTTATTTTATAATAATGTCTAATTCTATCTTGATGCAAACGATGCCTGCCTAGAATAATGCTTCAAAGGGTATAATGGAACTAGCATCTTATATGCATTAGAGTTGTGGTCAATTCTAGGGTTGTAGGACTAACAAGTTGAGTGGAGTCAAGTATTAAGTTGTTTAAGTTTGAGTTGTTTGTATAATGAGTTGAGTTTTAGTTTGATTTTTATAGTGTATGTAAGTTTATTAAGTTGAGTAATAAATTATTTAAGTTTGAGACCTCGTTTGGGAATAGATTTTTTTAGTAACTTTTTGGTTAAAATATGATGTAAAAAAAATTGCTATATTTAGGATGACTTTTTGATTTTTTACAAAAGATGTGCAAAAAATAGAGAGAGAATGAAATCTTTAATTTTTTGGTATAAGTTGCTGGCTTTTTGATTTTTTTTACTAACATTCGGACTTTTAAGCTAAAAAGTGATATTGACAAACGAGACTTGAGTAAAAAATTTAACAAGTTTTAAAATGTATTTTAACTTGACTTGTTTATATTATGAGTAGATCTCCAAAGAGTACTTAATAAACTGAATACAGTTGAGTTTGAGTAGTTTGGTTTGTTTAACAATCTTCAATCCCATGTCTAATATTAATAATGTCAAAAATAGACTTTATAAGAAAGTATATGATATTTTTTATTGTGAATGGATACACCTTTTGAGTTTAGAATTTAAAGTGACAAACTTATAAAGTTCACTGTTAGATTGAGTTGTGATGGACAATACTTTCACATAAGGGTTGAGTCGTTTATTTTACTGGTATAAATTGTGAAATCAAACATAAAACTTGCGTTCACACTATTTTGTTATTTTTTTAAAAAATTATTGATGGTTTACTACTTATTTATGATGATAATATGAAGAGAAATTAAAGATGCAATTGTGTGAGTGAAAAAAAAAAGAAAAGAAAAAAAAGTTAAAGAGATTGATTAATATTGCCAAGCTACTTTATATAATATAATATAGTATGAGAATGGAGTTAATTAGCTTAATTTAATATAATTTATTTTTAAAATCGTGAATCGAATCATAATTAATCATTGCAAATCGTAACCAGGCCACCTCTCAAAAAACTAAACCAAATTATACGATTTATATTTATCATGATTGATTTATTGATTTTACCATTTTTTTGTAGGCTAAAGCACCATTAAATCCCGAATTTGAGAATCTTAACCCATTTAGTCCTAAAGGTTTTTTGTTGGACTAATAGGTCCTATTTTATGTGTAAAGACATTAGTACCCATTTTTTTAGGCGACTGGGTCAGTAATTGATGGGATAATTTTGGGTTGGTGTTTATGTGTAATTTACCGAATTGCCCAAGAAGCTTACTATAGGCATTTTTTAGATTCCATTCCTTTATGAACATCAAACATGAACAAACAACAAACATCAAACATCAACAAAACATAATCAAAACATCAACAACATCAAACATTAAAACATCAACAAACATCAACAAACATAATCAAACACGTCAACAACATCAAACATCATCAAAAAAATTGTGAACATCATCAACATCAACAAAACATCAACAAACATCATAAAAAAATTGTGAACACCACAACATCAACAAACATCATCACCAATATATTCGAACATCATCAAACATTAAATAATTTCTCCAAATTAACAAACATTAAACATCAACAAACATCCAACATTAAATAATCATCAAACATTAAGGAATAGATTCAATATATTCGATATATTCGAACATCAAACATTGAATAATTTAATGTATTGAACATCATCATTGGAACAGAAGGAGTGAGAACAGGTATCGATTCGGAACATTTCATCGGCTTCTTTCTTCTCAACGCAAAACTCGCAGAAACGGTGAGACGACATGATCAACATCGCAACATCAGCGCCGTGAGATCGGAACATCAGCAACATGATCAACATCGCAACATCAGCGCCGTGAGATCGGAACATCAGCAACATGATCAACATCGCAACATCAGCGCCGTGAGATCGGAACATCAGCAACATGATCAACATCGCAACATCAGCGCCGTGAGATCGGAACATCAGCAACATGATCAACATCGCAACATCAGCGCCGTGAGATCGGAACATCAGCAACATGATCAACATCGCAACATCAGCGCCGTGAGATCGGAACATCAGCAACATGATCAACATCGCAACATCAGCGCCGTGAGATCGGAACATCAGCAACATGATCAACATCGCAACATCAGCGCCGTGAGATCGGAACATCAGCAACATGATCAACATCGCAACATCAGCGCCGTGAGATCGGAACATCAGCAACATGATCAACATCGCAACATCAGCGCCGTGAGATCGGAACATCAGCAACATGATCAACATCGCAACATCAGCGCCGTGAGATCGGAACATCAGCAACATGATCAACATCGCAACATCAGCGCCGTGAATGTGGTTTTGGGTCTGGTTTTGATTCTGGGTGTTGTGCATTTTGATAGGTATGGTTGTGATGAAGATATATATATGGATATAGATGGTTTTACATGGAAGATGGGTGTAGAGATTGAAGCAACAACAACAAGAATATACATCATCAACAACCATACTGTTGTTGAAGACCATACTGTTGTGAACATGAAGACCATGATGTTTGTTCACAACAGAAACATGAAGACCATGTTTCTCTCCTAATAACTGAAATATCCTACATTTCTATACGAGTCCACACGTTCCACGAAATTCTCTCCTAATAAAAAGGAATGTTACAGTATATCCTTAATAAACAAACACGCTGATAACATCAACACCAAAAACAAGAAAAGGACAAAAAGGTAAACATGATATATAATACAATTAATAACAATATTATACCAAAAAAAATAGGACTAAATGGTTTAATAAAAAACATTTAGGACTAATTAGTGTAACATTTAGTAAAATAGGATTTATGAGTAATTTTTCCTTTTTTGTATCCTTAGTGAAGCAAACACTAAATAATAATAATAACAATAATAAATGGAACTAGTAGAAAGATGGAATTAAACAAAAAATAAGGACTAAAGTGCAAAAAATCCGAAGAATCTTTTTTATGCTGTTACGTGAAATTCCTCCACAGGAAGACGATGAACTATTAACGTATCCCAACGACCATCTTTCCACGCGCCCGTGCCGTTGAGAGGAATAGTTATTGAGTATTTTTGAAGTACGGTTACATAGGATCCGTTTGGGAAGGGCTTTTTCGAATTTTTTTGGTTATTTTAACTATAAAAGATAAAATAAATTATTTTAATAATAAAAAACAAAACAACACATCCAATCCATAATCATTACACTCTTTTCTAAAAAAAAAGTCAAAAAAGCCAAAAAGTTAAAAAACTCTTTTCAAATCAAGCTTTTTAACCCAAGCTAAAATAGCCAAAAAAGTCAAAAAGTCAAAAATCAACCCACTTCCCAAACGGAGGCATAATTATAGAGTATGAATATGTGATATTGTGAAAGTGTTTAATAATATGTTTAGTAGTTCTAATGGAGTATCTTTAATCCACCATTGAAAGGGTGGTGTTATATATATTAATTAGTGTATTAATTAATATTATGATATTATTATTGACCTTATATATTATACAAATTACAAGTAATTGAAAATTTTAAAATTATTCTAATATTCACTCATCATCATTAATCTCTCTATGTTTTTCTATTCTCTCTCTTCTGCCTTATTAGAGATAAAAAAAAAAATAGATATTAGAAAAATAAAAATATTAGAGACTTTAAAAATTTTATCAAATATCTCACATGGTTTGAGACCCACATAGGACTCATATTGTGTGGGTAGACATTTAGTAGAATTTTTTATATCTGTAATTTAGCGAGTTTTATTATCAACTATATCAGCAGTGAATCGATTAAAGTATTGAAATTGTATTATTGCCCTCGCAGACGCGTCCATATATCTGTCATCGATTTCTATGCGTGCTTTTTTATTGTGTCGAACAATAATGGATCTTTCTGTGGTCAAAAATCAGTACATAGTGATTGGATAAATAAATATTCTCAATCCATCCAAAAAAACACTCCTATTTTATTGGGATTAAATATATATGTGTGTGTTATATTCTAACTTAATTTTTATTTATTTAAATAATAAAATTAGGATTTTTTTTTTTTTTGATAAACAATAGAATTACGATATATTGAAAACTCAAGATTAATTTTAAAAATTCTAAACCAAACAGATGTCATTTTTTAGACATAAACCAAACAGAATTATGTTGATTTTTGAGAGATGATTAGACGACACATGCAATTATTTGGCTAAGAAAAAGAACAATTGATTGATTATTTTTCAAAATTATCAAAAGACGTATCCAATAAGGAAGTGCAAGTTTCACGTTGAACTCATCTTTTTTGCTAGACATTTCAATCAATGTGTCTGTACTATTTGAGGTGTCCCACTTGCCTTCTTAACTATGGTGTGTGTTTCCTCGTGGGCTGTCTCTTTCCTTTCAAATTTGCTAGTCAACCGAACACTAGGGTGAAAAAAACAAACTACATGAGATCTTTTCTCAATCATTGAATTGTATCACGAAATTCCAAAGAAAAAGTTTCAACACAACCAAATCTAAGCTTCTGAATATGCATGTGTAACACAAACAATTTCCAATCTTTCACCTCGAAAGTTCCACAGAATCATCCCTTATTCTCCTTTGCAGACAAAACCAACCAAGAGGTGTCCGATCCGTCTCACATCTCAGCCCTAGCCGAAGAACCCAATGAGGAGAAAAAAACTAATCATGCACAAAATGCACTCATTCAATGACGAAAAGAGAAAAGAAAAAGAAAAAAAAAAATCAAATGTTAATTTCCATTTCAATGGATTCTTGTCAGTTAAAACATCAGAGCAAACACTGTTTTAAATATAAAGCATGCAACAGAGGAAACAAACAAGTACAGTTAATCATGAAATATATCTATCCTGCTGCTCTTGAAGAAGCTTTGCTGAAGACTTGGCATCCAGATAAAGCATACACACTTCCTCAAGATCCGCCTGTAAATTGTAAAAACAGAAACAAATGTAAGAAAAGGCTTTGTCCCCATGTATAAACATTCTCATAATCCATCGAAAGGTGCACAAGTACCTTGCAAATACTGTCTCTACCATTCATTTTGGCCACAACACTTGCAGGTGATAAAAGCTGAACTGCATGCCTGAGAAAACAGTGAGATCAGATATAAGCATCCTTGAAAAGAAAAGAGTACAAGAGCAACCACAACAAAACTAAAATGTAAAACGGATTTTATGGCAACAGGGTGGGATGGGGCCAGTTTGGGGTGTTCCGTCCCCACCCCATTGTACACGAGAGAGATGATATCGCATATGAAGGACAACAATCGATGAGTTAAAAAATATTAACGCTGTGTTTGGTTGGAAGATTTAGAAAGGGATTTGGAAAGAGAAAGAGAAAGGGAAAAGGTGTGTGAAATTAGGTAAAATATAGACATGTTTTATTCACATTTCACCTATCTTTTCCATTTCCCTTTCCAAATCCTTCTTCAAATCCCTCAACCAAACACAGCATAAATGTGAGAGATATAGATGTGAAAATAAGAAATATGTATACATTTTGGGGTTTAATCATACTATATTTAACAAATATATGTAGATACATATACATAAAAGGTCTTTCTAAAAATAATCAGAAAGGGAGCAGGGCAAGTTGCCATCCCTACCTCAAGGATGCTTGTTGTCCAATCTCTCCAAGGTGAGCCAAACTTTCTTCATCCACAATCAGTTCCTCCACCTGTGCACGAATGGCTAAAATCTGGCCAAGTGTCAAGAAATACATTTATCAAGAGTTCTTGGACATCAAAGTAGGTACTAGATACAACAAAAATTTACAGTAAAAAAGGGTCTGAACCTGTATCATTTCAGCTGGACCATAAGTTTCTGTCCGTATAATTACCAGCCGGTCTAACAAGTCAACAGGTATGCCATGAGGACTAGTCATATCAGTTCCCCTGCAAACACATTCATGTTCAGAAATTAAGACACAGGAATCAAGAAAAATGTAAGATGACCCCTGATTCTGAACCATCTAACTTTTGATATCTCTAAAGATTCATATGACTTCTGGAACATTCCACAAATCATATGGATTCACCTCCTGCATATATATATATATATATATATTTACAGGAATACATACACATCTAGGGATGGCAATTTAAACTCGGCCTGACGGGGGCCCGGACCGCCCCGTCCCAATAAATCGGGTTTTCTCCGAAAATTATTCCCCATAGGGCCGGGGCTGGTAGTAAAAAATAGATTCCCGATGATTTTCGGGCCGTGGACGGTGATAGGTACCTCAGCCCTGGCCCCGCCCGATTTGGCCCCGAACAGTCCCCGTATATATATAAAAGTGTTTAGAAATTAAAGTTTGGTTATCTATCTCTCAACTCTCTCTCACTCTCTCTCGTTCTTCGTTCTTCTCTTCCATCCCTCTACTCTATGACTTTGAGAGATGAGAAAGAAGGTCTGAGCCTCCGTCGCCTCCTCCCTCCTCACCTTCACCACTGGCCTCCGTCGCCTCTTCCCTTTCTCCCCGTAGTCCATTTCGCCCATCGTTTACCCAGATCCGTTGAGTATAGTTCAAATCTGTAGTGACCTCCTCGTGAGCAGTGAATCCGCCATCATCGTCATGATACGGCGGTGGATCGAAGGTAGCGTAGCTGTCAATCTCCCTTATCCGCTGTCTTCGGCGAGAGAAAGCTATTAGGGTTTCCGATCTCGCCGATCTCCCCTCCTCAACAACATCACGCCGACTCCGACATCACGACGAGAGAAAGCTGTTGTGTTGATTTCTCTTTTTTTGATTTCTTGTAGATCATACGAGTTGTGTTTGATTTTTGTCTCATTTTTTTTTTTTGGTCGTTGATGTATAGCCAACATTCATTGATAATTTTGTTGATCTGTTGATGTATTTGATATATAGAATCTGGTGGTACTGAGTACTGATCTGTTGATTTTTTTGTGTTGGTCTGCTGGTTTATAGATGATGTTGGTCTCCATTTTTTATGTTGATCTGTTAATTTTTTATTTTATTTTTTTTGTTGGATCGGGCAATTTTCGGGGTCGGGGAAACCCGATCCCCGTTAGGGGGCGGAAGCGGGGACGGTGATGTGTTCCCCGTCGGGGATCGGGGCCGGGGCGGGAAAATTTTCACCATCGGGGATCGGGGACGGGGAGTGTGATCCCCGGCCCCGCCCCAGCCCGTTGCCATTCCTATACACATCTATGTCTCAACTAGGTCATAGATCCACATCAATAGGCTCATATCTGATATCTACCCAAGGCAAAGGAACATTTCACGCATTCTAAAGATTTATCCAACCAGGAGAGAACTCTGCCAATAAACTAACCTAATATTTTACCAATAGCTAGAATTTACTGAATATATGATGGAATTATGACTGATCAAAACAAAAAAAGACGTCTTTTTTAAATACATAATAGGGGTTGCCCAAAATTATAAACTTGGACTGAACACCCATGCCCTTCCATGATTTGAGGTCAATTGTTAAGCTCCTGTAATCATACAAGGCTTATTGAAGTTGTTTAGTATGGTCTTTGACAAATTAGTTCTTTAGATATATCAAAAGTGAATCTTGATATATATATATATAACTAACCAAAATATATAATTACAGGAGCTATATCTGTTTCTTGATGTCCGTATATAGTATGTTGAGATATAGTATGGTCTCTGTAATGTAATGTAACAATAAAAATTGAAGAATATAGTCGTGTACTCTTCCATCCATTTCCAATACAGTAAGTTTCAGACTCAAAATACCAAAAATGTAAGCAATATCAATTGATTCCAGAAATCACAAATTTATCTGTAGAAAGATTAAAGTTGACACTTTCAAGTTTCTAAACATTTGCAGGTTTGCACTAGTGGACATCCATACCTTACATTACATATTCCTCTATTCGTGGCAAAGATTACTATTGGTGATAGAGAGCTTTCTAAAGCACGATTTAAATACGAAAAGCACTCCATATCCAGCATATGTACCTGTGACCAGGGTTGTATAAATCAAATAGGCATAGAAGCAATCTGTACATAATGAGATATGGAAAGGGCTGAAATGAGAAAGAGAACCTCGTCAATAAATAAGACTCCAGGGACGAGCTCTGCCACACCTTCATCAATATATCGGTTAACAACCTGTAATCAACAAAACTTTTCAGGTACCAATTATTCTGTAAACAGAAATTTTAGATTCATGGACTATTGCAAACATGAGGAGAAATAGGAGGCAGTTAAAGAAGCACCTTGTTTATTTCCTGTCTTAGCTTGTCAGTAATTTCCGTTTTTCTGGGCTTCATCATCTGACCCATTAGGGACAATATATCTTGTCCACCTTGAGGCCGTGCATTTGCAGCATCCAGATCATGCAGCGTAACATCCTGATATTCCAACAGACAATACATTATATACTGGGGAAGCTATTTGGTCCATTAAATATTTCCAAAGGTTTGATCTCCACCCTCTTACAAAAAAATCCATCTGTCAGAACTCAGATGCACCTGACACCTCTGTAATGATAAAAACTGATCAGACACATCTGGCAGATGATAGACATTTCAAAAATCTTCAGAAAGATTTTAATCCATTATTTCTCATCTACAAAGCAGAGGATTGCCTAAGTCTATGCCAATTGAACCATGCATCTGACATGAGTTCAACTAAAAAGTTAGAAGGCACCATGCATAATATTGCTGACAACATTGCATACTTCAGAAACATAAAGTCAATGATAAGTGAAATCTTGGGTCACCCTTTTTATTGCAGATCTGCAAAACTTTATCTATGTGGCCCAAAACTTTTTCAAAAATAAAATTTCCATAGATTAATTAAGTGCATATGCATCTCAAATCCACATTGGTAAGGGATACAAATAGAAAAATGATGACATTCTTTAGTAGGAAAAGCACCTCAAAGGTCAGCACAACTATTGCTCATGCCATTGATCAGCTTGGAAAAGAAACCAGGTAATTGCTAAACGAAACAACAAACTTGGTATAAACCTCAATAAATTAAATATCACGTGTATCAAGGCAAAGAGACAATTGGTATCACAATTACAATTATCATCAGTGTAATGACATAGCATATGAAGATCTCACTGTTCATCGAAACTGACCTGAACTATCTCTTTCTTCTTGTGAACTTCTCCTTTAGGAAGTGGGACATACTCTTCTGCCTCAAGATCAAATTCGGTGGCAAAAGCATCACTTCTACCCACCCTCTTAACTGCACCGCTGTTGGCTTCAATGTATATAACGTCCCCAACGGCTACCTGCAGGTTGTATCATAAATTTCATAAAATAATAATGAACTGCAAAAGCCATTAATCAACTTGCATCCAAATATTTCGTGCCATAGATGGAAAAGAAGGGATTCAACCCTCTATCCTCAAGTGCCCATACACAATGCACACAGCAATAAGGACAATACCATAAATTATATTTGTTGTAAATGATTAAAAAATATTTACACATAAGAATTTGTTCTTTAAGGCCATATACAGAAAAACAAACATAGGTGAAGGCTAACCTTTTCCTTAATCAAGGCATCATATATAGTGGGATCCAACTTCAGCTGCTTTGTTCCTTTGACAGTTTTTAACCCAATAATTACATGGCTTATGCTTTTACCATATCCACCTGTCACGCTCTCTGTTTCTTCTGGGGAAAGCTCAGTCACCTAGAAAATAATACAATCGAAACACATCAGGAAGTGAAGCCAAAACCATAATGACAATAATATGTAAAAGTCACAAGATCCTTGGACAAAATAAACTATGATTGATAAAAATAGATAGGGGCAACTTGCCTCTCCTTCATAAACTTCCTTATTTTCCTTGATGCGTAGACCAATTGCACGACGGAAATTTTCCATTAAAACCTCAGTTTTCTTCACTTCAGAAGAATACACTTCTGATCCAACCATTGGGCAAAATGGAACCTACAAGTCATAATAAGAAATGGGGAAAAAAGTAATTGCTCAATGACCGTGCTAAGGATCAAAACATTAGGACTGTGCGTGGATTAAGGATTTGAAAAGTTACTTGTTTTAAACGTTTTCCTTTCCCTCCACAAATCCTCCACAAAAATATTTGCTGAATGATTGTGCTAAGAAAAATACAAGGGATGTGTTGTTAAGGGAAAAAGAATGACATAGAAACTTCTTTTTTTCTTCTCTCCCCCCCCCCCCCCCCCCCCCCCCCAACACACACACACACACACACACACACACTTACACTTTTCCCTTTCCCTTTCCCTTCACAAATCCCCTTAAATCCTTGATAAACACAACCTAAATGTCCAGCTTCAAAATTAGATATCCATTCAAAAGGACTGCCTAAGTTACCCAATTGAGAAGTATATATAGATATATGACAATTATTAGTGAATTAAAAAGATCAAATTAAGAGCAAAACAAGAAAAACAATAGTAGTAATATGAGAATGTGTAGAAAGTACCTTGCTACCAAGCTCCTGAGATATGCCAAGAGCAAGAGCTGTCTTCCCGGTCCCAGGAGGTCCGGCAAGTAGAAGAGCCTTTCCAGCCATCTTCTTTTGGCGTATCATATCAACAACAAGCCCTGAAGCTTCTCTAGCTGAGGCCTGACCCACAAACCCAGCAGCCAAAGGTACTGCTTTTCCATTCGACTACAGCAGAATTATCATTAGAATCCAACAAAAATGTCATTATTTGTTTGATGAATCAAATATAAACAAAAGTTAATCGAAGCAAGAGAATCACAATGGTTCGTCAAAAGGGTATATATTTGACCACTGAACAGACATAAAACTAAAATAAATATAAAAAAACCTAAATTCATAATCATATTTCAAATAAACAACGTAACCCTAAAACCCAAAACCCTGAATATAGAGAGAGAGAGAGAAGAAAAAAAAACCTAAATTCATAATCATATTTCAAACACCATCTCCTCGTCTAGAGAGAAAGAGAGATATGTAAGACAAGAAGAAGAAGAAGAAGAAGAAGAGAGAGAGCGAGAGAGAGAGAGAGAGAGTTGAGACGTACCTCAAGACCTAGGCCTTTGATGTGAGTGTGGGTAGCTATTCTCTGCTTCTTTGTTTGCGATTGCACCTCTTCTATCTTCATCCTCTCTCTCTCTCTCTCTCTCTCTCTCTGAGGCTTTTACAGTAGCTTCTTCTTCTGTGCCTGCTGCGCAGAACAAAGCAATTTTAGACGAAAAATGGAGACCGACCCCATTTTTTAAGCCAAACCCTCGGGTTATAGTTTGGTTCTCCCACCGTTTACCCGTTTAATCCCATCACGACCCAAACAAATAAATCGCTCAAATTTACCCATGAAATCCTCTGGCTCAGTTGGAAAGTGAAAGAAAAAGAATTTTTTGTTTTTATGTATTAGTTTAGATAGAGATTTTTAGAAAGCAATAAAAATTAAAGGCTCCGTTTGGTTGTGTTTTAAAAATATAATTCTACACCTATATTTGAATGTGATGTTTGGAAGGAGTTTTAGAATCAATTTTTCAAAACTCTACAAAGAATTCTGTCTCAGGCGTGATTTTTAGAATTTTTTTTTTTGCAAATTTTGCCTAACTGGTAGTCCGGCCGGTTGACCAGTATAGTGATTTTTTTTTTTGCAATTGATATGTTAATTTTTATATAATCGAAAAAAAAAAATTTCGAATTTTTAAAAAAATTTTATGTGCTTTAAAATAATTTTGAGTTGTATGTTTGTTATGAGTTGTAAACTTTTGTATCAAATATCAAATGTCACATCAACAATTCCTCATTCAAATCAAAACTCTTTTCAAAACTATTTTCAAAACTCTTTACCAAACAAATTTTTCACACTTAAATCATAATTCCAAACCTCACAAACTCAAAATACAACTCATACTCTCAAATTATAGTTACAAAACACTACCAAACGCAACCAAAGTTTCTTATACAGTTCAAATTAGCTTATTAGTTAGGTTAATAAGAGCATCTCCAGCAGTATAGCTGTTATCTCTTTTTAGCCATAGAAGTAAGTTTGGAAGGGTAAAAGATTGCTCCAGCAGACTTGCTCAAGCATCACTAGAATGGTTGTGAGCTACAGTACCTTGCCAGGACAACCGAGATACTGTTTATAGGCCTTTCAATTTTTTATTTGTTTTTGCTTCCTGAATTTTATTTTTAGCGGTAAAATTTTTTCCTCATTGTGGTGCTAAAAGTTTTGTCAGTACCTCTCCAACAAATCTATAGATAAAGCATTCCAAAATTCACAAACTCTCTCATCCTCTCTATCTTTTTCTCAAACTTGCTGCTCGAGGGAGGTAAAGTTTTGTCATTTATGTTTGTTTATGCCGTGAATAGTCCAAAATTTGATGGGTCGTTACACATATCAAAATTAAACACAAAACTACACCAAATTCTTTTAGAATAATGGCAAGTCCAGGTATCGATATACATGGACAATTGTGCAATTGAACTAATTTAATTGTTAAATTCCTAAATTAATTTTGATGAAAAGATTGATTATTCATAACCTAATTTAATAACAACTAAATTAAACTAAGTAATTAAATTATCAATTATAAATAAAATTGGATTTATTGATTTGGGAAAAAACCTAGGGCAAAGAGTCCACCACTAGTCACGTAAATAGGGTTTCCAATTGAAATCAATTATGTTATGGTTCGAATGGGATAATGCTTTGCAACTACAAGTTCAAAGCATTTAACAAGAAAATTATCACGTTCAATGTACGAGCACAAACCGTCTCAAGTAGTACGAATTGTTCACTTTAAACTAGGGTAGTGACACGACTTGTCCTTTGTAGTATGGTCCGTCTCATACCTTGAATGTGAAAAAATAGAAAACTCTTGTATGGAAAATATTCAACAATCACAGAAAGCTGAATATTTGAAGAAATAATGAAATATATATATATATATATATAAAAAACTTCTAAAGCACCATACAATTATTCAAACCTTTACATAATTGAAAATCAAAAAGAAAAACTTAATTACATGGCTAGGGTTTTATCAAAACCCTAGAAAAGAAGACTAGCCACTCATGGAGGAGTGGGAAGAGGAAGAAAATGAAGAAGAAGACCCCATGGAAGTGTCCTTCAAGCTTTTTGGAGAAAATTACCTCTTGGAACCCTAGCATCTCTTTCCTTGCAAAAACAATTTCCGAACCCTAATCCAACCCTTTTCTTGCCTATTTATGCTTCTGATGTCTTGCAAACAGGTTTAAAACATCAGGCCCGTTTTCCCAGAAAAGTCAACACATGTGCGGGAATCTGTTTTCTCTCCAAATTCTGTCTTTTTGCCCATTTTATGCTTCGACTATGTACAACCTGATTGACGTGAAACACACATAAAATATACAGTTTGACAAGCAAGTAAAGTTAAGAGATTCTAATTAACGGCCTCAATGTTGCACAGTTCGGCCTTAATCACATCTCCAAACTTACAACTTGCTAGTCCTCAAGCAAGTAATAAAAAATAAAATAAAATAAAACAAAATCTAGCTATTTCCTCTTTCGTGGGAAAACGGTTGCATTTAGCATATGCAATAAGCCTTTAAACCACAAAGTTACCCCAAGTGGACCAGTAAAGTCTCGTGAGGGTTTCCAGAAATGATACCCACAAACATTAATATATTCATATATACTCAACAACAATTGACCACACTACTCCACCTAACAATCAACTTATGTGCCACTACAGTGTGATATTGAGACATCATGAGTCATTAAAGGCACAGTGGACAAGCATGAAGGAACCTATTGAGTCAAAACCACAATTCAGTTAATACAAAAGTAAAGTCACCACCGATCAACGATCACCTCATCACCAATTACCGATCACCGACTCCCACCTCTCTGTTTCTCTTTCTCTTCAGTTTTCTCTCACTCTTTCTCTCACTCATCATCTACCACCGATCACCTCATCACCGATCCTCATCACTGATTACCGTTCACCGACTCTCACCTCTCTATTTCTCTTTCTCTTCAACTTTCTCTCATTCTTTCTCTCACTCATCACCGATCAACGATCACCTCATCACCAATTACCGATCACCGACTCCCACCTCTCTGTTTCTCTTTCTCTTCAGTTTTCTCTCACTCTTTCTCTCACTCATCATCTACCACCGATCACCTCATCACCGATCCTCATCACTGATTACCGTTCACCGACTCTCACCTCTCTATTTCTCTTTCTCTTCAACTTTCTCTCATTCTTTCTCTCACTCATCACCGATCAACGATCACCTCATCACCAATTACCGATCACCGACTCCCACCTCTCTGTTTCTCTTTCTCTTCAGTTTTCTCTCACTCTTTCTCTCACTCATCATCTACCACCGATCACCTCATCACCGATCCTCATCACTGATTACCGTTCACCGACTCTCACCTCTCTATTTCTCTTTCTCTTCAACTTTCTCTCATTCTTTCTCTCACTCATCACCGATCAACGATCACCTCATCACCAATTACCGATCACCGACTCCCACCTCTCTGTTTCTCTTTCTCTTCAGTTTTCTCTCACTCTTTCTCTCACTCATCATCTACCACCGATCACCTCATCACCGATCCTCATCACTGATTACCGTTCACCGACTCTCACCTCTCTATTTCTCTTTCTCTTCAACTTTCTCTCATTCTTTCTCTCACTCATCACCGATCAACGATCACCTCATCACCAATTACCGATCACCGACTCCCACCTCTCTGTTTCTCTTTCTCTTCAGTTTTCTCTCACTCTTTCTCTCACTCCTCCTCTACCACCGATCACCTCATCACCGATCCTCATCACTGATTACCGTTCACCGACTCTCACCTCTCTATTTCTCTTTCTCTTCAGCTTTCTCTCACTCCTTCTCTCACTTATCACCGATCACCGATCACCGATCCTCATCACTTCTCTAATGATGAACCTCTCCCTCTCTCTCGCCCTTCAAATCTTAAATTGCTCAAGAAACCTGAAACCCATGAAATCGAAGATAAAAACGAAGATGATAAGGCACAAATAAACCGTAAATCATCCATGCCCCTCTATCCCTTTATAGGATCTATCATTCTGACGAAGATCAGTCCAACGAAGATAAAGATCAGTCCGACAAAGCCCTCTATTGATCAGTCCATCTCTCTCTCACAATCTGGGCATCTCTCACTTCTTGGTGTTCGGCGATCCCTCCAAGTTTATCTTTCTTTATTTATTCTTAATATTTTTTTTTCTACAGCCATTTGGTATTGGTGAAATTTGTTGAAATTTGTGAGATTTGTTGAAATTTGTTTCAAAGCTCTAAATTGATGATTTTTTTAAAAAAAATTTAGACACACCTTGAAGTAACAAATTGGTGAATTCTATTTTTTTTACCAAAATGGTGAATTTCATTTTTGATAGGTCGTTTCACAAACCAAAAATAAATACTTAATTATACCAAATTCCTTAAAAAAATGGTAAGTCCAGGTATCGATCCACAGGGACAATTGCGAAATTAAACTAATTTAAATGCTAAATTCCTAAATTAATTTTGATAAAACGATTGAGGGATTCATAAACTAATACTAATTAAATTAAATAAAGCGAATAAACTAGCAATTATAAAAGATGAATCTACTGATTTTGGAAAAATCCTAGGGCAATTACGTAAATAAGGTTTCAATTTGAAATCAATTATGCTACGGTTCGAATGGAATAATACTTCGCAACTACAAGTTCGAAGCATTTATCAAGAAAATCATTACGTTCAATGTACGGGAACGAATCATCTCAAGTAGTACGAATCGTTCACTCTAAACTAGGGTAGCGACATGACTCGTCCCTCGTAGTATGGTTTGTCTCATACCTTGAATATGAAAGAATAGAAAACTCTTGTATGGAAAACATTCAACAATCACAGAAAGCTGAATATTTGAAGAAATAATGAAATATATATATATATATATATATAAAACTTCTAAAACACCATACAATTGTTTAAATCTTTACATAATTGAAAATCAAAAAGAAAAACCTAATTACATGGTTAGGGTTTTATCAAAACCCTAAAAAAGAAGACTAGCCACTTATGGAGGAGTGGGAAGAGGAAGAAGATGAGAAAGAAGACCCCATGAAAGTGTCCTTCAAGCTTTTTAGAAAAAATTACCTCTTGGAACCCTAGCCTCTCTTTCATTGCAAAAACAATTTCCGAACCCTAATCCAACCCTTTTCTTGCCTATTTGTACTTCTGATGTCTTACAAATAGTTTTAAAACATCGGGCCCGTTTTCCCAGAAAAGTCAACACACGTGCGGGAATCTGTTTTCT